CAAAAGTTTTTTTTCAATATAATTAACTTTCTGAAGAGTTATGAGCTTCTGAATATGGGAAGTTGAGTTGGAATACGATGCACGTGTTTCGTATTCCTATATAGACGTCCACGTATTTGATGTTTTTTTCAACAAATTTTTAAAAAATCGAAAAAGTGACGTCAGAGCGATTCTGATGAGTTATTCAGATGCAAAAAATTTTGCTAATTCTGAATCTTCACGCAGGATTACAAGAAAAAGTTTTCAAGATGGAGAAAAAAACGTTTTGAAAATTTTGAGAAAAATTACATTATGAATGGGCTGTACGAAAACGAAAAGTCAATCAATATCCTGTAACTTTGAAAATGAGAGGAAAAGAGGGCGGGACAGAAACATGACAAGCGTTGATCCGGCTAAACTACAAGAATGAACTACAACTCCTCCCTATTGCTGAGAGCTCAGAAATATTTGTTGCAGACAGATATCTCAGTTGTGTCATGAGAATGAGCTTCGAGTAAATTATGCTCTGTCGTTCAATGAACTCATCGAGAAGTCATCAGATTTATTGGAGTTATCTAGTTTTCACAGAATGATCGAACGTGACACACTCAAAGCATTGAACTTCTGAGACAACAACTACTGTTGGAGGGACAGAATAAGTATCGTTACATCCTTACGACCATTACCCAGAAGCTTTTCGAATGAGTTTTAACCGTTTTCGATGAAAAATTATTTCGATAACGTTGAAAAAGCAACGAGTAAGTTTTTAGAATTGCATTTTGATATCAAACAATCCCAATTACTAACCATTTCGTCAACATTGAGCCAAGTTACAGCTTTTCTCCGAAACAGAACAACCGGGTCATTTTTCGCGCAAAAATTCTTTCCACGTGACCCGTTTTCATTGTGGTATATAAGCCGTCGAATGTCCGAAAAGCTTCAGTCGGCTGTGTGAGCTGGTGAGCTCAAGTTCTCTCTCTGGAGGTTCTCCAGAGATTGAGGAAAAGCTCATGAGCTCCTAAGCCAAGCGTGAGATCTGGATAAATCCTGATCTCAACCGATAAGCACTGAAAGGTTGCATTCCATCTGGAAGCTGCTCAGAACGATTGCATTCTAGAATCACAAGCCAGGGGAGCCAATTCACCTTGAATTGCTTGATAGAAATAAATTTGGGGTTTTAACAAAATCAAGAACGCAGATCAGTTTAATTGGGTTGAGACAAGGAGACCTCGAAACAAAAACAAATTGCTTCTTGCCCAATCACCCGAGTATTTCTATGCTTGAGAAGAATATAACAATAGAAGGTATGGAAGATTATGAAATCAAACAACATTGAAGAATAAAACATTTGAATGTAAAAGGTTTGTCATTCCATATAAACACAAAAGTAGCATTAATCCGACTCTATATCACTGGGAACCAACAGATCAGATTCGGCATCCTATAAATGGAAATTATGCTTCATATTGTGACTGTACTGACCGTGTCATTATCTGATATGTTAAGTAGCTCGTCGTCATCATCTTCAATTATCAAGACATCTTTCGAAAGTAAAGTTTCACTGTTCCTTCTAGACGGTAACTCTTCAAGTGCGACATCATCAGTTTCAGTTCGTTGCTGAAATTTCATTGAGAAACTAAATATTTCCGACAAAGTTCTAACCTCTTCCCACATATCTTGTTTATAGTTTTGGTTAGCACTTATATAATCCTCAACTGTTTTCAAAGCGTCATTGAACTCTTTCAATTCAAAGGAACTGCTCATGTCTTGCTCAACGTTAGAATGCCCTAATCTATGAAGGAAGGCAGTCAGATGAGCCAACTCCTTCGGAACTGATAAGAAAAATTTAGAAAACAACCTTATATTTTTGATACTCACTATTGAAACACTGTAATCCTAATGTCTCGAACTGATGGGGAATAGCACTCGGAGAGTACGGGAACCTGATTGTTGCGAATCTGGTCTTGCTAGCAGATCGTGTAGTACATTCCTTTAATCGAAATTTTATGAATTATGTGAGTAAAGATTTAACCTGGATGACGAGATCGCACGCCATAGAGAACATATCGGGAAATGGCCTTCTTTGAACTAATTTGCGTCCGTTCAATAGTCCCTCAGAAGCATCTGACAAGACTAGAAGAACACTGCTGGCTTTACCAAGAGAATCCACCAGCCAACGAGACGGCAAAGAGCCTGAACTACCATTGGAAAGCTTGAACAGATCGCAACTATTACCGGTGGCTATCAGCTCTTTAACATCGATCAAAACAGAAGCATTAGCTGCCAAGGAAATCAGATCTGCGAATTTTTCCACTGCATGGGAATGCTCAGAAGTATCGTCGGAGTACAAAATCAGAACCTGAAGATATGACATAAAATGGAACAACTCAAAATTCATACTTTCTGACATTCAGCCAATTCCACATACACATTAGTGAGGTTAGACTGTTTCTTATCTAGGAAATAAAGAAAATAGACGAAACCCAAGAATGCCGTGATGAAAACACCTAAACGAAAGTTATACTTCAGATTTAAACAACCATCAATACCAGTAAGGACAACAGCAATGACATGCCAAGACTCCTCCACCACCAATATACTTTTCCATAGAAGTCCTCCTTTGGATTCGTGAACAGTGAAATTCAGTTTAGTATGTTGACATATTTTGCATTCAACATCAGCTGGTAAATCGGGTGATGGACAAACTAAGCGACAATCTTGCTTTGGAACATAGGCATAAGCCACATAGTCTCCTTCAGCTGTGTTCATCCACTGAATTTTGAAGTTAGTGTGCTCAGGTAATTGCTTACAACTTACTTTTCGGCCGAGTGATGGATTGGAAATCGTTATTGTCTCTAGGAGTTTCAAGCCAGGCTTATCCTTGATTCTCAAGTGCTTGAACAAGTCAACTCGAATAGAATAAACTGAGAAGAACATGTGAAAACTATTAAAGACTCTATGCTTACGCTTTATAGATTTTGGCTTTTCGATCCTGACCCATACTCCATCACTCTCTGTGACATCAATGATAAGCATTGGTGACCAATCGAATTGGGGAACACTATAGAACTTAGCTATTTCAGGAAAAAGATGACTCTCCTCTGGTGCCGTGAATATAAGCGAAGATCTTAGAGTCAACTTTCAAAAAAGGAAGAACAGATAATTCATACCGGCAGTTCTGAGGGTACAACGTGACATTGACCATGTATTGGGATTGAGCATATATTCGGAAACAACTGTATCCAAATTGAAAAGGAAGTCTCACACCATCGTTATCATCGAATTGGAGCATCCGACATGGCCACAGCCATGAATTGTTAACAATCATTCTAAAAGGAGGTATTAACATGAAAAGCTCCAAAACTCGGCGTACTTAGCAGAATCGTGGCAATATATATCCTCATGGTTGGGAGCATATAAACACTGCAAGCGGAAATCAACGGAATCTATGTGTTCAAAAATCAGAACGGAGAAATTGAGTCTAACATCCGGAATGCTAAAATTAGGTTTTAAGTGACTCTCTGACGTTGGCTTACTCACACATTGCCTTCATAGAAGGTGGGAATTGGCGAAACCGATAAAGTTAAGACGCTAGGATCACATGGTTCGGGCTCAGACTTATCTTAAACATCATAATTGAGATTCTGCACTACAAAGAAAGAGAAGGAGGAATTACATTTCTCTTGTGCTATCCTAGAGCATTCAGAAGAACTACCGACTATATTGTAAGTGCTGCTATTTTTGGAAGAATGATAAACCTTAACGTTCTCAAAACAAGAATCGTCTAGAGCTGAACAAGTAACAAAGATAAAAACTATATTGAAT